GCATTTACATGTATGCATTGTAATTGAAATCTACAGGTGCAAATAGATAAACTGTAATAAAATAAACACTTAGATGTGTATTTTGGACGAATAGAGTCAAATTAGAAACAAAGTAGCCCAAAATCAACCCTAAATTTGAGGAATAATATGAAGATTGTTTAATATGATACTATTAAAGTCATATGAATTATTAAATTCACATGAATTAGTTAAATGTTACATAATTGAAATCATAGAATTCCTAAGTCCGCTTAACTACATTTTTATCATAATAATGTTGGGTTTCATGTGAACCGTAATCAACTTGTGTGCATTAAAACAATGAAACGGCTGACCTGATCCCAGCAGGCCTGAAAGGAACTCATTATGTAACTGGCCAGAAATAGACTTTTTAACGGAAATAATAAAACGGTAGGGGGGGGTTACAGTATTGTTTTTCTAGCCCGGGGATGTGAGGGCGTCCCTTACTCGCCGTAAGGAAATCCTCGGGAAGGACGCTTCGCCTTGAAGACAGAAACCTCCCACACTTAAAGGTCAACGCATGTCAAACCTCTTCCCAGACAGGACCTTGCGCATTTTTCCCCAGATCAGGCGGATTATATTTAGTCATGCGGTTCAGCTTTTCCTGTGAACCGTTAGGTAAGACTACTTTCGTTGGCTGATCAGGGAGATTCCTTCATGTTCCCAATCTAAACTATTTCATTAGTCCTGTTTGTTTACACTGGTTTCACTTTCAGTGCTGCTTGGAAAGGGGACTTTTATAGGCCTGTCAAACAGTTCAGTGCCAACCAAATGCCATGTGACTAACCGCTCTGGAGCCGCAGGAAAAGTGACGTCATGGTTGGCTGATGGCAGCACAAGAACGCACACAGTCCCGAATCTTTCACTAGTCACTATCCTGAAGCATCAAAGACAGCAGACATGGAAAATGTCATGGTTTAAGAGCCCTCCAAAAAACTAGTAAAACATCTATTATAATATATTATGTATTCTCAGCGGTTGCTTACTAGGCCAAGTGAAAAGTATATGTGATGTTTTGTTCAAAAGATTGGTGTCAATACGTTTTTTTCCTCAATTTATTCAAAAAGGATGCATTAAATTAATCAAAAGTGACAGTAAATATATTTATAATGTTGCAAAAGATTTCAATATCACATAATTGCTGTTCTTTTGAACTTTATATTCATTAAAAGAATTCTGAAAAAATGTATCCACAAACATATAAAGCAGCGCAACTGTTTTCAACATCATAATACGTGTTCTTTGATAAGCAAATCAGCATATTAGAATGATTTCTGAAGGATCATGTGACACTGAAGACTGGAGTAATGATGCTGAAAATTCAGCTTTGCATCACAGGAATAAATTACATTTTAAAATCTATTCAAATGGAAAACAGTTATTTGAAATTGCAATAATATTTCACAATATTACGGTTTAATGTAATTTTGCTCAAATACGTGCAGCCTATGTGAGCATAAAAGACTTCAAAAACATTTAGAAACCAAACCATCTCCAAACTTTTGAACAGTAGTGTATTTTATTTAGTCTTTGACTTGACCTAACCGAACAGGGAGAAAACTATAAAAAGTGGATAAGATATTCTTAGTTCCAAGCTGAGACCTGAAGCGACTCCAACCTCAGATGGTGGTCTGGTTCTCACGATTGATCTTGCCAAAGGCCGTTATTGGTTGTAGTTGTGGTCAACGGCGCTGTCATGTGTGACATGTTATTTTTGTTGCTGTCTAAAAAATTATTATTTTTCCTAGTCAGTCATTTCCTGGACGTGTCAGTCATTCAGCATGAGCAGAGGAGGTTAAAGCGTAAGATAATATTTCGACTAATTCCTCAAAAGTCTTATATGTTTTTCGAAAGACTTGAAGAATGTACATTATGTAACAGTTGACCGCTGTTTTCTCAGGCCTCCAGGCCTCCTGTCCCTCACACAATACCCGGTCAAATCTAGCAGAAAACACACTTTTGTGCTGGATAATTAAGTACATAGACATAGATTTCCTGACTAAAGCATTCTTTATTCTAGCAGTATGAGTGGTGTGAGTATGAAGTCAATTACACTAGATCGTAGGATGAAAAAAGGAAATAAAATGTATATTCCTTTTTGATATAAAACATATTTAAATAATATATCAAATGGTTACAGTTGTTTGAAAAATATTACATTTGGAAATGTTTGGAAAGGATTTTAGAAAGCACATTTTTTTTTAGATGTTTTATGATTACTGTGAGCTTATTCCCTCCAACCAGAATTTAGGTTAACCTCCAAAGCTCAGTTCTTTCCAACAGGAAGGCACATTTCCTTTGACCCAGCTAGAATAAATTTCCAGTGGACCAAAGCCATTGACATTCGCATGGGCCATTACTCTCAGTAAGTGCTGGAGCTCCAGCGCCTGTCGGATGGATGGGGGCCAGATTTTGGCTTGACCTCTCAGGGGACATGGGGTTACCATGGGACATTGGGAGTGCCTGTGTTTACTGACGGGTAACAATCCACTGAACTTCTGGTGTTTTGGAGCAGGTAGAGCACCACTAGGACAGAGATGTTCAGGAAATTATGTGCTGAATACTGAAGAAAAGAATAAGAATTACTGAGCTTTGGAATGTTTTGCCATAACGTAAACGAACCGATTATGGTTTGATATGTTGTTATTTTATGTGTAGATACAGCTTAAAGTTGTCTAATTAAAATTAATGAATGTCTGTTAATTGATGTGCCTGAGTATGAGTGGTGTGAGTATGAAGTCAATTACACTAGATCGTAGGATGAAAAAAGGAAATAAAATGTATATTCCTTTTTGATATAAAACATATTTAAATAATATATCAAATGGTTACAGTTGTTTGAAAAATATTACATTTGGAAATGTTTGGAAAGGATTTTAGAAAGCACATTTTTTTTTAGATGTTTTATGATTACTGTGAGCTTATTCCCTCCAACCAGAATTTAGGTTAACCTCCAAAGCTCAGTTCTTTCCAACAGGAAGGCACATTTCCTTTGACCCAGCTAGAATAAATTTCCAGTGGACCAAAGCCATTGACATTCGCATGGGCCATTACTCTCAGTAAGTGCTGGAGCTCCAGCGCCTGTCGGATGGATGGGGGCCAGATTTTGGCTTGACCTCTCAGGGGACATGGGGTTACCATGGGACATTGGGAGTGCCTGTGTTTACTGACGGGTAACAATCCACTGAACTTCTGGTGTTTTGGAGCAGGTAGAGCACCACTAGGACAGAGATGTTCAGGAAATTATGTGCTGAATACTGAAGAAAAGAATAAGAATTACTGAACTTTGGAATGTTTTGCCATAACGTAAACGAACCGATTATGGTTTGATATGTTGTTATTTTATGTGTAGATACAGCTTAAAGTTGTCTAATTAAAATGAATGAATGTCTGTTAATTGATGTGCCTATCACAGCTGATGCAGTCTGTTATATAAGAGACTCGTGTGAAACTCAGTCATACTGTCAGTGTCGTGTCTCCGTGTCTCTTGGGGTCATGGTCCCTGGAGCAAACTACAGTTTCTGCTCAACCAAATATTTTTTCACATTTTCTGAGCATTACACATGCTTAAAGATGGATGATATGACCAACATATTTTTATTATTTTGTTATTTTATTCATTAATATTTAACTAATCTGACTCCGTTGTGGTATGCAATGCAGAGTTTTCATGATCCAGTCAATTTCAAATACACACAACCATAATTTTTCCTCATTGATTATCTTTTTCAACTGGAAATAAGTCACGCTACGGAAGTGGTGTGGGATTTAAATAACCATGTGAAGCATGAATGCCTATTTGTAGATAATCCTGTGAATTCAGCCACTGCTTTATTCCGCTTAAGTGTGCAGGTTTTGTTTTACAGGTTCACATGTTGCTGATTCTTTTGGAAACTAATGATGCTTAAAAAATGTTTAGGCATTTGTCACTTTTTGTGTAATTTCTCACTGAAAATACTTTTATTTAATTGCAATTTTCCACTCTATAAATAAGTGGTTTTCACAAAATATAGATATACGCATATTTTGTTTACTACTTGTACTGAAGCGCGCGTGATGCTTCCGGTGATATTAACGTCTGCCGTCTCACTAATGAGGACATATATACATGAACAACATCTCCAGAGAACTGCTCTGAGAGTCACTTCATGAGCATTTGACTGTTTCGTTTGAGTAAAACTATCCTCATGTCATATACACACAGAAATGTAAAGGTATTCACGGCAACCCATCAAAATAAAAGTTTGGTTTAGTTCAAAGACATTATGGCAGAAATATAATACTATTGTTCAGTAGAATGTACGTAATAGGCTACTACTACTAAAATTATTAAAACCTTATTTTTAAGGAATAATCATACAATATGTCTTCAATGTTTTAATTGTAATATTAAATCCCCTTTATTTTTTAAAAAAAAGTTTAATTTTCATTAATTAAAAGATAAATTTAATGTTTTATGCCTTAAAAAATGCAAATACACAACACAGAATTTCTGAGGGAAAAAATCATAAGGCTATTATAAGAATAAATGAAACTTGTTTTTATGCTTTCAAATAATTAGACATGCTCAGAATTTGGTAACAATAAAACCTTTCATAGGGCCCTAAACATGTCATTTTTGTTAAACTTTTAATTTCATGATTTTAATTAATTAGACATGCTTTTTGATTAATAAAATTTAATTTAACCATTAAAAAAAAAAAAAAAAAAAAACGGAACCCCCCCACTAGAACATGCTCTCATGCTTGGTGGTTCAAAAAACGCATTATTTTTCACATAATTTACATTATTAAAGTACCTTTTCTCCCCAGCCTGGCACAGATGGCTCGATTAGTTCCGGGTTTGATGAAGGTCCGCAGTTTATACAGTTTGAGGGAATATTGGGGAAAGTCAAAATGTTATGCCTCTCCTTAAATGTGTTCATCATTATTATACTGTAGTTGTCCAGAGGTTCAATACTGATGATACATTGCTTTATTTTCCAGGATGGTTCCAGGCGTTGCAAGGAAAGGAAAAAGACAGTGTCGTTCAGTAGCATGCCAACAGAGAAGAAGATCAGCAGTGCAAGCGACTGTATTAATTCTATGGTGGACGGGTCTGAACTGAGGAAAGTACGCTCCAACTCCAGAGTCTACTACCGATATTTCCTCCTAGATGCCGACATGCAGTCTTTGCGATGGGAGCCATCCAAAAAAGAGTCGGACAAGGCCAAGATTGATGTAAAATCGATTAAAGAGGTGCGAACTGGTAAAAACACGGACACCTTCAGGACCAATGGAATTTCGGATCAGATTTCCGAGGATTGTGCATTCTCTATAATCTATGGGGAGAACTATGAGTCGCTTGATTTAGTGGCAAATTCAGCCGATGTAGCAAATATATGGGTGACTGGACTCAGGTACTTAATGTCGTATGGAAAACACACACTTAACATGATTCAGAGCAGTCAGGACAACATGCGTGCGTCCTGGCTGGGTGACCTCTTTGACGAAGCAGACGTCATTGGCGGAAAATGCATTAGTCTTTGTTCGGCCGTACAGCTGATCAAGAAGTTAAGTCCTGGACTGAAAAATGTCAAGATAGAGCTGAAGTTCAAAGAGTTGCACAAAGCGAAAGATAAAATCGGTTCCAACGTGACCAAGGAGGAGTTCATCGAAGTCTTTCACGACCTTTGCACAAGACCAGAAATCTATTTTTTGTTGGTCCAGTTCTCAAGCAACAAGGAATTTCTTGACACCAAGGACTTGATGATCTTTTTGGAGGCAGAGCAGGGCATGGCCAAGGTTAGCGAAGACATCAGTGTGGAAATTATTCAGAAGTATGAACCCTCGAAGGAGGGGCAACTCAAGGGATGGCTCTCCCTGGATGGGTTTACCAGTTACCTCATGTCAGCAGACTGCCACATCTTTGATCCTGAACAAAAAATAGTATGCCAAGACATGAACCAACCCCTTTCTCACTATTACATAAACTCTTCCCACAATACCTACCTGATTGAGGACCAGTTCAGGGGTCCGTCAGACATTACAGGCTACATCCGTGCCCTAAAGATGGGCTGCAGGAGCGTGGAACTTGATGTGTGGGATGGGCCCGATAATGAACCGGTCATTTACACGGGCCATACGATGACCTCGCATATTGTCTTCCGCAGCGTCATTGACATCATCAACAAGTACGCTTTCGTAGCCTCGGAATTTCCTTTGATCTTGTGCTTGGAGAACCACTGTTCCTTGAAGCAACAGAAGGTAATGTTTCAGCACCTGAAGAAAATACTCGGAGACAAAATTCACACGGATCCTCCCAACCTTGAGGACAACTACCTTCAGTCCCCTTCGGACATAAAGGGAAAGATTCTTCTGAAAGGAAAGAAACTTGCGAGCAACTGCACCGGCTCCGAAGGCGAGGTGACGGATGAGGACGAGGGTGCAGAAATGTCTCAAAGGATGAACAACGAAGGTGGTGAGCAGCAGACGGTTGTTCAACCCAAAAAGTTCCAGCTCTCTAAGGATCTCTCGGACTTGGTAACCTTATGCAAGTCTGTTCGGTTTAAGGATTTCCAGACGGCTTTCCAGAACCAGAAGCACTGGGAGCTCTGCTCCTTCAATGAGGTCTTTGCCAGTCGGTGTGCCACTGACCACCCTGGTGAGTTTGTTAACTACAACAAGAAGTTTCTAGCGAGGGTTTACCCAAGTCCAATGCGAATTGATTCCAGCAACATGAACCCGCAGGACTTTTGGAAATGTGGCTGTCAAATAGTAGCAATGAACTATCAAACACCTGGTCTCATGATGGACCTCAACATTGGCTGGTTTAGACAAAACGGGAACTGTGGGTATGTTTTACGCCCAGCGATCATGAGGGAGCAGGTGTCTTATTTCAGTGCCAATACTAAAGACTCTGTTCCGGGAGTGTCTCCACAGCTCCTTCACATAAAGATCATTAGCGGACAAAATTTACCCAAACCCAAGGGCTCAGGCGCCAAAGGCGATGTGGTAGATCCCTACGTTTATGTTGAAATTCATGGCATCCCTGCAGATTGTGCAGAACAAAGGACTAAAACGATCCATCAGAATGGCGACAACCCCATCTTTGACGAGAGTTTCGAGTTTCAGATTAACCTTCCGGAACTTGCAATGGTGCGCTTTGTTGTTCTGGATGACGACTACATTGGGGACGAGTTTATCGGTCAGTACACAATTCCGTTTGAATGCATTCAGCCAGGTTTCCGCCACATTCCCCTCCAGTCGCTGACGGGCGAAGTCCTTCCACATGCCTGGGTCTTTGTCCATGTGGCCATTACTAACCGTCGTGGTGGTGGTAAACCTCACAAAAGGGGGCTTTCGGTCCGCAAGAGTAAAAGGGGTCGGGAGTACGCCACTATGAGGATACTTCTCATCAAGGCTGTAGATGAAGTCTTTAAATCTGCTGCACAGCCACTTCGGGAAGCCACTGATCTCAGAGAGAACATGCAGGTGAGATAACGCTTGCCTCAAAGAGAAACAAAAAGTCGTGATCTGATCTGTTTGAATGCAAAAATGAAGGTGAATACTGTAAAATCATTCGTAGTTTAATAAAATTTAAATCTAATTTAAAAAGTTGATATTTATTACCATCATTTAAAAAAAACAAAAAAAACTCTGAAAATCAGTTTTAGATATAAAAGTTAGAAAAAAAGGTTTTTGCATTATATTCTTTTTACATCGAAGCCTGTTTCTGCCACTAATTTTGACTTTTTGTCTCACAATTCTAACTTTTTTTTTTTTCTGGCAATTGCGGTTCTGACTTGATATAAACTCAGTTCCAACCTTTTCATCAGAATTGTGTGATATAAAGCCACAATTCTGAGAAAGTCAGAATTGCAAAATATAAACTCTCAATTCTGAATCTTTTCCTCAGAATTGTGAGTTTATATCACGCAATTCTGACAAAAAAGTAAGAATTGCATGTATATATCGATATATAAAAAGTTTACATTTTTTTTATTCAATGGTGGAAAAGGGATTTCCATAGTCTTATTTGTAGGGTGATTAGGGAAAATATAATATCCTATTTTTAGGTGATATATGACCTGGACATGTTTTGTGAGATTCACCCCATTCAGTATCTGCAAAGTTATGTAAATGTCTCAACTCAGCAAATGTTTAGTTTGCAGCTTGCCCAACTGTATTTCAGTGTGGCGAAAGCCTTCTTTGAGTAGCGTGAGAAAGTTTTCTCAAATGAAACTTCAGAAAGTTGACCCTGAGAAGGAAGCACAGCTTACAGGACATTTCTCTTCACAAGGCCAGGAGCATTTGAACTGAAATCTCTCTGGCACTGATAAAAAAAAAAGTGCTGATTTTAATCAGCTGCAATTCCTTGAAGTTGCACAAGTTGTTGGACTGGCACAAAAAACGCCCTGGAGATTGACTGCAGACCCTTTTTTTAGCCATGAGAACTGAAAATATTCTCATATATAGGCTACAGGTAGGAGATCAGCCAAATTACTTTTAATATTTGATGTGGAAAATGTTACATAACACAGGGTTAAGTATGTCCTGAGGCATGTGTCGGTTATATCCCCTCAAGAAGAGATTAGGTCGTCTCATGGATAAAAGGGGTTGGCACTACTATAACAAGAAAGCACTGAGAAGATTTTGAAGTCAGGAAACAGTTTTTTCTTCTTCATAAGATTATACCGCAGATGGTGTTTCAATTTGTTTTTCGTTCATTGGTTTTCTGTGACGCTTCTGCTGCATTCAGTAGTAATAGTGGGTAAATGTGTATCTGTTAAATATTGCTGTTGCTTGAGTTTTAAACTTCACAAGAAAAATTACGTCTTCCTCCCACATTCAAAGCAGTGCTTTTGTAGAAGACACACTTTACAAAAAAACACTTCCTATCGCATTTCTTGTTCGTGGACGTTCACTATGGGGAAGTCGGCACATTGCTACCATTGGCTTGGTTTTTGTTTTCTCGTCACCACCCACAATTAGGTCACCGGTTATGATCAGAATAGCATGTTACTATAATGCTATTTCTGCTGTGTGCTATGTACATGCATACACAGTATATTAGGTGGAGCATGCAGTATACATACAGTACAGTATCCCATAATGCAATGCGCTCAACATTTCCAGTGTACTATAAGTGATATTGTCAGCCTTGATTTTTTTTTTCTTTAATTATTAATTGATTGGACTGCAAGAGTTTAAATGTGCAAAATACTGTGTATTTTGAGATTATAACTAGAAAGCATTTGCTCAATTAAACATGCAACCTGATAAGCTAATGTAACTTTAAGGTTCAAACCAAAAAATGATTATATAAAATTGCATTTTAGCAAACTATATGCACAGCATGCAGTATGTTAGTATTCCATTCAGAACATAATAGTAGCCACCACTAGTCACAATTGTACTTTGTCATAGCATTTTTAAAATATGTTTGGTTAGGGCTGTATTTTGGGGGAAAAATCAAGTTGTGACTTTTATGAAATAAATTTCAATGCGATTTAAATGTTTAAAAAGAGAAAAAAATGCATCCAGGTTTGTTGTGCTTCCTTTAGTTGCTGCACAATTTGACCAAAATTCTGACTATAAAATAATAAAAAATAACAATAATAGGAAACCTAATGAAAATTACTACAATTAGAATTTGAGGAAAAACAATACATTAAAAAAAATTATTATTAAAAGTATATTATTATTATTGCTGCTACTACTACTACTAAATAAAAATATTACAATTATTAAATAAAATAAAAATATTTTACTGAAAAAGTAAAGTAAGAAATATATATATTTTTTAATTACTACTGTACAATTATAATATTTATATTCATGTCTTAATTTCTTACTTTTTCAAACGTCAAACCTTTGAAAAATATTTTCGATGGAACACCACATGTAATAACAATAATGTCGAAATTTAATTTTCAATTACTACTGTAAAATTGCAGTATTTATATCTTAATTTCTTCATTTTTCAAATGTCAAACCACAGGGTTTCTGTTTTGTTATAAGAAGATGGTTGTTGCATGTTGCGTTCCCAAAATGCACATTAAAGTGACCCAAACTCTGAGCAGATGCAGAAAGGACGGTCGTGTGAATGGCTCTGAAACATTGCAAACACTCAGAAAATGAGCAGCTCGTGTGTAAAAGAACACAGTGCCATGCTTCACTTTGAAGCAACCAGCGCATATAGATATTTATTAAATTGAAGCCATATTGCAATTTTGCTTTCATTTTGATTAATGTTGCAGCCCTATATTTATTGGAAGATATTATCATAAACAAAACAACTTGTTCTGTGCTGCAAAACATTTATGTGCACGCTCACTCTTCGACCTACATGTCCTCCACAGAATGCCATTGTGCCGTTTAAAGAGCTTTGCGGTCTGTCTGCGGTGGCCAACCTGAAGCAGTGTATACTAGCGCTCTCCCCGCGCCTCATGGGCCCAGACAGCAGCCCTCTTCTGCTGTTTAACCTCAGAGATCAGTACCTCACCATGGAGGCCCAGGGCCTGCTGCCTGAAGTCCTGAAGAAAGTGGTCACCGCTTATGAGATGGTGAGTGCATTTCTTGAAAGGAAGAGGTCCTCCAAAAATGAAAATTCATTATTTATTCACACTCGTGTTTCCAGACCTATATGTGGTTATTTGTTTTCACTGAAACACAAAGAGCATATTTACATAGCTGTTTTTCATACAGTACAACAGACTGTATTCAGAGTGTTCAGGTGCCACAGAATAGCTTTGTTTGACTGAAATGTATTATTCTGGTCCATACACTGCAAAAAATTATGTTCTTCAATATTTTTGTCTTGTTTTAGTATCTAAACATTCTTATATGTGACCCTGGAGCACAAAAGCAATCTTAAGTCGCTGGGGTCTATTTGTAGCAATAACGAAAAATACATTGTATGGGTCAAAATGATTTTTCTTTTATGCCAAAAATCATTAGCATATTAAGTAAAGATCATGTTCCATGACAATATTTTGTAGATTTCCATACCGTAAATATATCAAAACTTAATTTTTGATTAGTAATATGCATTGCTAAGAACTTAATTTGGACAACTTTAAAGGCGATTTTCTCAATATTTAGATTTTTTTGCACCCTCAGATTCCAGATTTTTTCGGCCAAATATTGTCTTATCCTAACAAAAAGTTATTCTCAGTACAATCATCCCCATTTAAACCATAAAGTTTGAAAAAATAGATTTAAAATCATGTGCAAGGCCACTGAGACAGCATGCTGTTGTTGCACATAAAATATTAATGTTTAGAACAGTGCAAATACAAACACCATTAGAAACTCATAGTTCAGCATCACACACCATGATATGGGTTCAAATGAGAGCCCATTTCTCTCCAAAACGGTGCCAGTTTTAGCGTTTTGCCATAAATTATCAAGTTTAGTTATTCTTATTTCTTTGTTACAATTTTAACATAAATGCACATTGTTCTAGAAGGATGGCATCATGCCATACCTTTTACACATTTACTCGAATTGTTATGCTGATAATACAATTTGTAAGGAAAAATGCATGAAATAGCGAGGTATCTCTGGGGAAACTTTTTCAAAGGAAAACACGCACATGCACAAACATGTCTCTTTGCTGAGCCGCGGCGGTCTCGGTGAATCAGCAGCATCCACAACTGAATGGAACAAAAAGTGTTGAACTTGAAAATTGTTTGTGCGAATGCACTTGCTAAATGAAGGCGGATTGTACAAAATTGATTTTTTTTTAAAAACGTTTATTAACGAGCTGCAGTTTTATTACATCATGAGCTGGCACAGATGCAGTATATTAACGCCACGGGTCATCAATAAGGTGCAGATTGGTCCTCAATTTGTGTTTTCAACACACTAATTTTTGATTAGTAATATGCATTGCTAAGAACTTAATTTGGACAACTTTAAAGGCGATTTTCTCAATATTTAGATTTTTTTGCACCCTCAGATTCCAGATTTTTTCGGCCAAATATTGTCTTATCCTAACAAACCATACATCAATGGAAAGCTTTTTTATTCAGCTTTCAGATGATGTATAAATCTCAATTTCGAAAAATTGACCCTTATGACCCTTATTTCGTGGTCCAGGGTCACATATGTTTACATTTAGATATGAGAAGCAGAATGACTTTCAGAAAGAAAAAAAAGTTTTTTTAAATTATAAATATTTAAATATTCAAAAAAATTTAAAACCTTTTTTTTAAATGATGTTCTTCCTCAGTATTGTTTTGTCTTGATTTCCAGTACAAATATTGAAACATTATTTTATTTTTACATTTAGATGCATTTACTTAAAGCGAAAGGACTTACATCTTTCAGAAAAAAAGACAAAAAAACGGGTGATTTTTTTTTTCTTGTTTGAGAAGCTAATTTTGTTTAAGATTATTTAAATAAGATTCTTTTTTCTAACCCCTTTGGCAGATATTTTGTGTTGCTTTAATTTATCCAAGTGACTGCTGCAGAACGCACGCGAGAGAGAGACGAGGCAGCGCAGATCACGCGTCTCATAAATGAATTTACCGAACGTGGCACTTGCGGGAGTTAACACTGCATGCAATACCCACAACCTCACACCAAATTTCAGGCCGTGTAGGGAAGCCTATATACAAATCATTTAGTAAGCAGAAAACCGAAATTTACCTTAACATATTAAGCTAGAGGAAGATGCGACTTGATGCTTGAAGAATGCACTTCCAGCAGCCATGATAAACAGCTGGCGGTTAAAGTTTTCTATGCACAATTTGATTTGACGAAAGTCACGAGACCTATTACTCTCTATCCAACGTTGATGGATAAAAAAAATTTAAATAAGCATGTAACAACCACAAACGGAGTTAAAGTACCGATACATCACTTACAATGTACTCAAGTAAAAGTACACAATTTTTAAACTACTCAAAAAAGTACAATTACTGATAAAAACTACTTAATTACTGTAACGTGAGTATTTGTAATTCGTTACTTCACACCCCTGCTCATATGTGACCCTGGACCACAAAACCTAGTCTTAAGTGTCAATTTTTCAAAATTGAGATATATACATAATCTGAAAGCTGAATAAATAAGCTTTCCATTGATATATGGTTTGTTCGTTTGTCGAGATACAACTATTTGAAAATCTGGAATCTGAGGGTGCAAAAAAATCTAAATTTTGAGAAAATCACCTTTAAAGTTGTCCAAATGAAGTCCTTAGCAATGCATATTACTAATCAAAAATTAAGTTTTAATATATTTACGGTAGGAAATTTACAAAATATCTTCATAGAACATGATCTTTACTTAATATCCTAATGATTTTTGGCATAAAAGAAAAATCAATAATTTTGACCCATACAATGCATTTTTGGCTATTGCTACAAATATACCCCAGCGACTTAAGACTGCTTTTGTGCTCCAGGGTCACATATCATCAACATGTCAAAAATGGGCTTATTTATTATCGCATTGGTTTTATAAAAAGTTTGCAACAGCACTGTTCCAAAAACAAACACATTTATGAAAATAATCACAGAAAAACTAATTTTTTTGGCTGATTCCGAAATCTAAAGAGCAAAGTGTTTATTGTCCGATGACAAGCATATATGAATGAGCTGAACGATATGCACATCCTTGAGGAAACGCAGCGCTGCTTGTGCACCAGTTGAACAAGGGGTTGCTGTTGTCCTCCTCCTGGTCCCCCGCTCTATAAATACCCCCTATAGTGGTTTGTCTGCCACCAAGGCTGCAATTTCTCCAGCCATTAGTAATGTAATGACAGTGGGCATGTCAGCGATGAGACAGCTGCTGCAGCTGTGCGCGCATGAGGCCAGTACCCGCATCTCTGATACAGATACAACCAGAAAGCTATGGCGTGGCCTAGTGATTAAAGATCCAGTCATGGAAAACCAGGAAATATCAGGGGATTTTAAATGGTTTTCCATAGGGATGCACCGAAATGAAAATTCTTGGCCGAAGCCGAACAAAATGAAACACTGTGCCGAAGGCCGAATAGGGTTTTTAACGTTTTTTTCCCCATTTTGCCAATTTTTTCACCATTGCATAAATTAAATAGCCAAAATGTGCTTTTAACTGTTTTGTCTTGCTTTTTCAAAGAAAAAATCACTTACAAAACAACAATTTAAAAATATTTACTTAACACTGAACATTTTTTAGCATTCTAGCAGACATTATACCAATAAAGCACAACTTAACTTAAAATTAATAAGCTAGTAAAATAATATTTTTTGGCCATTTTTTTAGACCCCCTTCTTGAATCAGGCGTGATTTTTCCCTTACATATAAATGCAGCCTTGCTGAGCTGAAGACACTTCTTTTAAAACATTAGAAAATATTATAGATCCTAGTCTGAACACTGTGTAAATGTTACAATAAATGTTTTAATAGAGCTGTTGTAATTATTATTTTAATTTTTTTTTTCTTTTTACAGAGCAACAGTAAAATTACAATAATAACATTTATTAATGTTGACTGAGTTCTTGCTTTTTCTCAACTTTTATGTTGGCAGAAACCCGCAGGAAGACCTCAGTGCTTCTTTTTGTTGACAAATGATTCTCATTACGAATTTGGGAAGACGTTTGCTGCACGTATCGCATTGTCACATGGCTTGTAAAAGTTGATAAAAATTTTACTGAGCAGCTGACGAGTAACCGTTTCAGTGCAGATTTTCCTCGCGCTTTGGACTTTGAACCCTACCGCCGCGAGCTCGTGCAGCGCTGTTTGAACACATGCAATTCCTGCGTGTATTAGAAAACATAACATTCTGCAGTTTATTTAATTGTTTAAGGGCATTTCGCGATTTTAATCATCATACAGTAACCAGCAACAACCACCCTTCCTCTTCTCATCGAAGACATGCGATGCAGCACTAAACAGTCTCTCGCTGTCGGTGCTTGTAATGATTTTTGTGTCTTGCTCGGACGGCGGTTTCCACACTGCAGTCATGTTTGCTGCATTAGCGCGCGCCTCTATTTGATCGCGTCACGTCATTGTTCGGTACAATTTATTCGGTCTTTTCGCTTATTCGAATAATTTCGTTTGCCAAACATTCGGTGCATTCCATCCTTGAATTTTCTATAGTGCTGAATTTTTTCTAGTTACACTCTTCTCTGATGTACAATTCCATTCTAAGGCCTTTTGAAAGAAGGCTCTTCTGCTCTCAAAGGCTGCTTTTATTTCTTGCAAAAATGCTGTAAAAACAGTAATTTTGTGAAATATTAATATAACATGTTATTTTTAAATATATTTTTAAATGTAATTTATTCCTGTGATCAAAGCTGAATTTTCAGCATCATTAATCCAGTCTTCAGTGTCACATGATCCTTCAGAAATCATTCTTAAGCCTCGTACACACCGGGACGATTATCGCGCACGACTTTTTCGACGCGTCTTTTGTGTTCAAACCCAAGCGATTTTCACAGGCGATGAGCCGAGTGAACGGACAAATTCACTCCCTGACATTAGATGGCGCTTACTAAAAAACCGAAATACCCCGGTACTCATCGAATCCTATTTGATCTGCAATTCCTCTCCATAACCACTCCCACTTATCGAGATTTTTGTAGTCACTGTCGCGTTTGTCATAAAGCCCTTTGTGTTCAGACACCAATGAGACCAGCAGCTCTACATTCATCTTTGTCGTTAGGTATCAATGTGTGCTCGGCAAGACCGTTTTGTGCTTGAGCGCCACCTAGTCGTGTTTTACTGTAACTTCAGCAGCTCCAGGCACATGAACAAAAGCGAGCCCGAGGCGTTTTTTAAAAAAATGACGCTTTTACGCCTGACGTTTTGTGCGTAGGTGTGCACACTCACATTGGCGCCCTTTGTTTAGTTACGAGGCGTTAAACGTCGGCGATAATCGCGTGCGATATTCGTCCCGGTGTGAACAAGCCTTAACATGATGATTTGCTGCTCAAGAAACATTTCTTATTATGAATGTTGTGTTGTTGTATAATTTACATACTATATTGAAAATAAAACCGTAATAAAAAAATCAAAAAAACAATAAAATATAAATAGATAATAATAATAAATATTAAATTAGTATAAATAATAAATTAGTATTGTATAAAATGGCAGGATTCTTTGATTAATAGAAAGTTTAAAAACAGCATTTATTTGAAATAAAAACCTTTAGTAACATTATATATTATAAATGATTTCACTGTTACTTTTGGACAATTGAATGCATCCTTTCTGAATAAGAGTTTATTTTTTTCAATAAATGAGTAAACAAACACACCTTTGAACAGTAGTGTATGCCTACAAATTCATTCCCTCCAAAGCACTTTCATTAAAAAAATTTTTTTTTTTAAAGATTAAAGTATTAAATATACCAGATCGTCTGTGTTGGCTCAATAAATGTGTCGGAATGATTTTGCAGTGAATTGATTTTTGGATGATTTGAATGAAGAGCTAGTTTGATAGATTAGATGAATTCAAGTTGATTAAAATGCATTCATGAACTTTCCCCAGTGTGCCATTGATCATAATTCTTAGCTTTAAGTTACTCCAAATGGGGTTGCTACTATAATGTGTGCACTGTAAGTAGCTTTAGTGTCACCTAACTGGATTTGTGCATTTTCTGTCGAGAATGTGAGTGGTATTTGCCTGTGCAAGCCCAAATCTGATTCTTTCAGCGATTGTATTAGTTGCAGATGAAGGCAACCACTACATGGATCTAAAAAGGTGTGAAGAAATAGTTTTGACACTTGCGTACTGTTAGCTTTCCTGTCTGCATCTCTGTCAGGTCTGGGCGACCGTCGGCACGTGGCGAGGCCATCAGAAAGTGCGCGCACCGACCCGACTTCCTGGAAAGTTGCCACAGCCTCGTGATTGATCTCTGTGAGAGCTTTCTGAGCACGAGCCATCAGAGATAGACGCTAAAGCAGCTGTTCTGCTCTTTGTTGACATGGAAATATAATCTGACCCCGACAAGTGACCCTGCCATGCTTTTGTTCACTATAGGGATGTACGATTCAATTAGACTGACCTGCGGGACATAAGGACCTGTGCCGAGTTTCAGCTAATCCTTTGTTTCTACATCACAAGAGCCATTCTTTCTGAGCACGAGCCATCAGAGATAGACGCTAAAGCAGCTGTTCTGCTCTTTGTTGACATGGAAATATAATCTGACCCCGACAAGTGACCCTGCCATGCTTTTGTTCACTATAGGGATGTACGATTCAATTAGACTGACCTGCGGTACATAAGGACCTGTGCCGAGTTTCAGCTAATCCTTTGTTTCTACATCACAAGAGCCATTAATTTCCTGAAGATGACGAAGTCAGCTGATTCAGTGTCATAGAAGCTTTTGTAACTCGTTTCCAGAAACATATTTCTGTACTTTAAAGTAAGCATAAAAAACAACAACAACAACAAAAAACTTTTATTCAGCAAGATTTTTCAAATAAATACACTTTTTATTAATCAAATGAAAATGTATGATGTTGTCCACAAAAAATATGAAGCAGCACAAAATAGCATTAAATCAGTATATTAGAATGATTTCTGCAGGAGACACTGAAGACTGGAGTAATGATGCTGAAAATTCAACTTTGCATCACAGGAGTGAATTACATTTTAAAATATATTATAATAGAAATCAGTTATTTTAAATTGCAATATTTCACATTATTACTGTTTTTACTGTATTTTTGATCAAATAAATGCAGCCTTGGATAGCATAAGAGACTTATTTATAAAAAAAAAATCTTATGTACCCCGAATCTTTTAACAGCAGTGTACTATATCATAAAATATTCATCATGATATTTATGTATTTGCTCTGAAATGATTCGAATGAAGGGTGTTTTTTTATTTTATTTAATCAACCATCATTTCTACAAAACAGCCGTTGTTACCAAATAGATTCAACATGTTAAATGCAGGAAGTTTCAACAGTTAAAGCATGACTGCACATTTCCCACCCTGTTATGTTTTGTAATTTGTAAACTCTTCCCAGAGGTCTTTGTTTTTATGATACGGGCCAGCGTTTCAAGTGTCTAAAGGTGAGAATGAGCATATGCATAATCTGCATGAATAAACTTAAACAGAGGCTTGAGACTGAGATGAACTCTGCAGTAAATCATAACATATAGCTCATTTACATATAGACTTATTAAATATACAGTAGCGAAAACGTTAATTAGCATTATTAAAATTGTGTTTATTTCTAAGGGTACAGAATAAACATGAAAAACAACATGTAAGAAACCTAGATAAGCCTTATAAGTGATCTTCAGCAAGGAAAAAGGAATCTAAAATGCCCTTTAATAAATGCAACTTTACTTTGTCTTTCTTGGCAGCATGCTGAGTCTCATAAGAGAAGTTTTTTGAACTAGGCTCTGGCTCTCTGATGTGGTTGGTGTTGTGGCGCTGCAGGATCTGTAGCCGCTGGCCTGTGCTGCTGAGACGTCTGTCTGAATTAGTTTTAGTGTGTGTCTGAATGGTCTGGCATAATTAAATGTAGGACTCTGCTCACCTCGTTAGAAGGGTGTGGGTCCACGTTCAACAAAAGAGCATATCTGTTACATAATCTGGCCCACTTCCTGTCCTGCTATGACTTTCCACAACCAATTCAGCGACCATGTACTTCCTGTTTTGCATTGTAGCTGCTAATCTTACATTGTTCAGAAGGTTAACAATAGTGCTGTCAAACAATTATATAAATATATATATATATATGTATGTATATGTATATATGTGTGTGTATATATATTTATATTATATATAAATATATTTAATATATAAACATAGCATATTTTTCTGAAATATATACATGCATGTCTGTGTATTTATATATACATAATAAATATACACACAATACACATATATTATGTAAACAAAAACTGAATTAACTTAATTTGGATGCTATTAATCGAGATACATTTTTTGTAGTTAAAATTATTATTTTTTTTAATAAAAAGTGTGCGTGTTTTTCATAAGACAATTGTATAACTTGTATAATGGTTTAGAATTTGAAATAATATTTGTGAATTATACAGCTACTAGCTACTGAATAATTTACTGTAAAATGAATAACTATACAGGACCAATATTCAGGCGTACATTCTTAAACTTAACTTATCTTCTTGCTTTTTATACAAAAGTACCACAGGAAAGTGGTTTTTAATTAATTACGGTCTAATTATTTTATTTTGTTTAATTGTAATTGTTTATTTTTTGAGTGATTGCAGTGTATTTGTTTTGTTTCATATTTAGATATAAAATTCTTAAACCCAACTTATCATCTTGCCTTTTATATAAAAGTACCACAGGATGTTACTTTATTTTACTTTTTATTTATATGATTATTTTATTACTATTAATTTATTTTATTTTGTTTAATTTTTATTACATTTTTTGAGGGGTGATTGCAATGTATTTATTATGTTTAATTCATATGACCTCTAATATAATTTGCAATAATATCTCAATTAAACAGCTACTCTATGACCCATATTCAGGCACAACTTCTTAAACATGACACATCTTCCTGCCATTTTATACAATACTAATTTATTATTTTTTATTATTATCTATTTATATTTTATTGTTTTTTTTTATTACGGTTTTATTTTCAATATAGTATGTAAATTATACAGCTACTGTATGACCCATATTCAGGCACAAATTCATAAACATAAGGTGTCTTTCTGCCATTTATTCAAAAGTAGTACAGGATAATGTATATTGCTTTTATTATTATTTTATTTTTCATTGTTCAGGTAAATGACTGTATGTTTTATATGACCTCTGATATAATTATACACCTACTAGCCTATATGACCCATATTCAGGCATAAATTATAAACATGAACTCTTCTCATCATTTAGACAGAAGGAGAAAATACTACTACTTATTTATTTATTTTAATATTTTATTGCTATTTATTTATTTCTTTTACTTTATTTTTCTGTTGACTGGAATGTATGTTTTGTTTCATATGATCTTAGGCGCAAATTCATGAACATGACATGTCTTCCTGCCATTTATGCAAAAGTAGGACAGATTTTTTATTTTATTACTACCTATTGATTGTAGGCTATTATTTTTTACATTTTGCTTTTTTATTTTATTTTCTGTGTGACTGGAATGTGTTTGTTACATTTCTTATGACCTCTGAATGCATGCGAGTATCTGAAGGGTACAGGCCACTGTGGTACACTACAAATGAGCTGTTGATGTATTATCTAAAAACCGCACAGATGCTCATTATGCGTCTCTTTCTCCCGTGTTCACAGATGATCCAGACCAGCCAAACGCTGCTGGAGAACTCAGACAGCGTGTACGAGCGAATACTGCAAGTCCAGAAAGCAGGTAAGAATGAAAAAGCATATGAGAGAACGAAAGCAAAGACAAGGCGAGCGAGAGAAAGAGAAAGACACACAGTGTTCCACAAGGGACGGGTGTTTCGTGGAACACAGCCGATCGACGCAGCCCTTCGATCGCAGCTCCCTCTGAAATAGAAAGAAAGCACAAGTGCATTCATACTAAAAAAGCTCAAAGAGAAAGAACTAATTATGCCACGCTGTGTTATATAAGGTTCATTGTGCGTTTCTCTTCACCTGTGTGATGTCCTGCATTTCAAACACCATTCAAGTAGGGTTTTTTTGACTCTCAATAGTGTCATTCGCTCTGTGTTCTCTAATTAACGGGGACTTAAAGGGTAAACATCTATGGCCTATCAAAGCCATGCAATCAATGTGATGCCAACAGCTGCATGATGCATTTGCCGAAGATCGGCCTCAGTTGCATTCACTCCGAAATGAAAGAGAAAAGCCGAATGCAGAAGAAAGGCAGCATTTGTGTAATTTTAAGGTGCATCTGTGGCCTTTTGAAATTGCATTGATTTTTTTTTTTTTAAGTGCACAATGTAGCTTCACTTCTGATCTCACAAATCAAATAAGAAAAATTCTACATATCTACATAAAAAATTCAATCTAGCCAGGCAAATGATGCTATTTCAAGTTTTGCTTTTTTTATTAGTGAAAAAAGATATGTGCATCATTCCTGCTGTGATTCACATTTCCTCATTTCCATGTTGCTTTTTCTCTGATTACGTCCTATTGCGTTCATAAAACCTTGTGATGCAGAGTGGAAACATTGATAATCATTTAGTTGTGTTGCTGGGAGACAGTGATTGGCAGGTGATCGATGCGGGAGGCTGGCAGTGTGTTTCATTGATCGCAGCTGATGGAATCTTGGCACAGGAAGCTGTTAGAGTTCATTAGATGTTCTCTCGATGAACAATTATCAGCCGCACCTAAATGCACACACTACCGTTTTGTTTTGTCAAGCCAACACTAAATCAATAAGTTTCAATACCGCATGTGCCATTTTATGTCCTGTTTGGCTTTTATAATGGCCAAATAAATCTTGATGCACAGCGGTTATTAATGCTTATTAAAGGGGTCATATGATGTTGCTAAAAAGAACATTAATTTGTGTATTTTGGTGTAATGAAATGTGTTTATGCGGTTTAAGGTTCAAAAAACACATTATTTTCCACATACTGTACATAATTGTTTCTCCTCTATGCCCCGCCTTTCTGAAACGCGTAAATTTTTACAAAGCTCATCAGTCTGAAAAGCAAGGTGTGCTGTGATTGGCCAGCGATCCAGTGCGTTATGATTGGCCGAATACCTCAAGCGTGTGACGGAAATGTTACGCCCCTACCATACTGTGGCATACTGTGGCCCTGTCAGGCCGGAGCGATGATTCAAAAACATGAAAACCCATTATAAACGAGGCATTCGTTGCATCCAGTGGGGACATAATTATGGATTATAATAACTTGTACCGTCTTTTTACGCGTTGCGTTGCATCGCGCCGCGTAAACATAAAACCATGTCTGCATTTGTGATCGGAGAAATGACAAACAACAAGCCTACTCTACACTGCTCAAAACTCGTGTTTGAATCATCAGTGGCAAATTCTTTAAATATAAAAAACATACTTACAGTCTGTGAGTCAGGACAGCCGGCATTGTAGGCTACTCTACCAGGATCAGGAAACAGTCCTCCATAAAATGTGCAGCACACATCTGAATATTTGGGTTGAAGTGTTCTGGAGCAGTGTTGTAAATACAACTTAACCACTGATTTCTAGTCGTGTCCATTTTTGGAAGACCAAACAAAGTAGTTTTGGTTTCACAACGAAACACAGCATCACACATGGCGGCCTAGAGTGAGCGGAGGTCGGTGGGCTTGAGAACGGCGCGGCCGGCGAATTCGACGAAGGAGCATCCGGAGGGCTTGCGGCAACCACATGTGACGACCCTGGGCTGGACTCTGCTTCGTCCACGGTGAAAGCCGTTCCGCCGGATCAGGCATGACCGAAGCAGATATCGTCCTCTTTTGGAAAACCAAACAAAGTAGTTTTGGTTTCACAACGAAACACCACATCACACATGGCGGCCTAGAGTGAGCGGAGGTCGGTGGGCTTGAGAACGGCGCGGCCGGCGAATTCAACGAAGGAGCGTCCGGAGGGCTTGCGGCAACCACATGTGACGACCCTGGACTCTGCTTCGTCCACGGTGAAAGCCGTTCCGCCGGATCAGGCATGACCGAAGCAGATATCGTCCTCTTTTGGAAAACCAAACAAAGTAGTTTCGCTTTCACAACGAATCACACCGTGCCTTTTTTTTTTTTTATTCTACAGAGAGAATAAAAGTTACGCCTTCTTTCTTTGCGTGAATATTTGGGCGGCGTTATACAAATCTTCCCACATCGTGACGTAGATATGTGGGGGCGTGTTAGAACGAGCCGTTTTAGGTAGGCGTGGCTGACATTTAACTTATAAAAAGAATATCTCTTTGGATTTGAGACTTTAGTCTTTGCAACTTTACAGATCTTCTTTATGCACCAAGAACTTGTAACACTCCAAAGAGAAAGGAAAAATTGAAATCGCATCATATGACCCCTTTAAAGCAAGTTACACGATTACTGTTGCTCATACTTAGGTGTTTATTAAAATCCTTAAAGGGGTAATTAATCCAAAAAGTGAAAATTTACTGTTAATTTAATCATCAAAAATGTAGGTTAGCATAACAGTAAAGAAGAAACTGTGGTCCTTTGTGATTCATAAAATGCAAGCCAGCGACTTGATCCTATGATGAATGAATCATTCAGCGCTCCAGTTCTTCCAATAGTACCTGAAATATATAGTTCAGTCATGAAACTCTAGATGGCGCATTCTGACGGGGTGTTAACGTAACTGATGATATTCAGAGAGTTAAACGACTTGGCACAAGCTGATTGGTTCATGCTGCAAATGCAGCCAATGAGTTTACTGCCTTGCATTTATATGGCTGGCTAGCATTCACTTGAGATTCCTGTAGCGAGCTTTCGGAGTTCTCTGAAACCCTCCACCTTCCCCAGCTCCACCTGTATAGATCTGCTACGGGGTTATTTTATATGCTATTTGTGCAGAAACAGTGCGTCTTAAATACTCATGGCACCGTATCGCCATATGCATTGGCAGTAGCAAGTTCCTGTACTTGCTTGCAGCAGCAGCAGCAGCAATAATCTACAACTACAGCAATAACCAACAGCAGCAGCAATTCAGCAGCAGCGTAGCAGATCTGTTCCGCCAAGACCAAATACATTAACATTGTCATATCCATCACCATGCTAAAATATTTAGAGAGTTGTCATGATTCAACTGAGGAAACAGTTTAGACTCGGAACTAACACTGATGAACCGGTGATATGCACATACATGAACCGAACACGTTTTTATGGTTTCTCATGACTTATGTAAAAAGGGGATCCGATGAAAACTAGTTTATTCACTTTACATGCTTCAGATGTGTAAACATCCACGTTTCACATCATTATTGGGTGCTTTAATAATGTAATTGCATATAGGTTGCGTATTTTGTCTGATAAACAAACTAGTGAATTGAACCAGATCACTGAAACGAACTGTCCAAAAGAACCATTTCACAGAAAATAATCAGATTTCTCCATTTGCTTGAGGCTCTGGATTATTATGTTGTAAATTATGTTCAGTTTCTTGCACAGACCGGTTGTTTTGCTTCATAAGACCTCAATATATCATCAGGAGCCACAGGTATTCATTTTGTGTTCCTTGATATGTTTTTTTTATTCTAAAAAAACATACCACTGCTGACTTGCATTTTATGAATCACCAAAGACCAGGGTATGAAGAAAAAAAGTCACCTAAATCTTGGATGTCCTGAGGGGGAGTAATATAAGAACAAATGTTCCTTTTTGGGTGAACTATCCCTTTAACCCTAAATAGCAAATGTTAATTCACAAATTGGTTCCTAAAATCATACTGCTTTTATCAAGGAAAGGTTACTTTTCTAAGTGCTCAGACTTGCATCCTAGCACCTGCTGAGTTATAGCTTTAGAATAACTATCTTTACATTTTCTGAAGAAAGCGTGAGTGTTGCTTGCCTTTGCAATACTCCCCATGATGCTGTGAGTGTGGGTGATTGCCAAGACATGGCTATATGCTTGCTAAGGTGTTCTGAGATGCGGTTAACATGTAAAGAGCAGCATTAGATTAACTTAGAACAACCTAGCAACCACTATGAACATGCTGCATAAAAATGCACTAGGAACACCTTAGCAACCATTTACCCCACTCTTGCTTTCTTCAGAAAATGTGAAGATGTGGTTCATCATCAATCTATCACTCAGTCGCTTCCATCTTTGATTTCTTCTGCTTAACAGTCATTTCCCACCACTTTTAATGCAGTTTAATATCCTGCGCCAGAAGTGAGACAAACCACAAAGCTTGTATTGATTTTCAGAGTCTGTGGCCACATCAAATATTCATCCTCTTTTGTCCCAGCACAAGCACACAGAGAACGGCTTTGTCTGATCTGCAGTAAACACTGTAAATCAATCTCTGCGGTTTCTTGTCTCTCTTAAGAAGCCCATCTCCGCCTGGTGCACTTCAGAGTCCCGCATGAACCCATTAGTTAATGTGAATGAACGGCCCACTGGCAGCAGCTTTACTTCTCTTGAGGTGTGGCAGAGATGGACTGATGGAGCTGTATGAGGAGTTCGAGCTGCTAACGATGAATAGGAAAAGTGGGTCAATGCTTGCCCATTCCCATGTGGAATCCAGTGGAAAACTCCGGCATCGACAGCCCTGAATAATCAAAACTGGCCACTGCAAAAGTCCGAGCAGGTATTGATCTACAGGCAGAGTAAATAACATGCTGCCTTTTGAGTAAAGCAGTGCCGGCCAGTGCTCCAAGCATCTAAGAGACCTATAGAGCATATACGTTTGCTGTAAATATTTGAAAATCTGTGCACTAACAATCAACCTGATGCCAGCGG